GGAATGGGTGGATTCAGGGGCCTGTCTATGCCCCCTGGTGTGCACAATCTCCCTGCAGACTCCTTCTATCAAATTACCAGGGTTGAGGAGGGGGAAGAGGTGGTAATGGGGTATCTTTGGGGGGAAGGCAGTCACCCAGCGCTCATCTATCACATGGGCTAGGTCGCCCAGCTGTGACAGAGGGTCCACTGGAGCCTTATGGCCCCTTTTCGTCCAGAAGGGGTGTTGATCCCTATCTAGTTGCAAGGGATGGTCCTCAAGACTTACAAGCTTGCCATGATGCCCTAGTCTAAGAATGCTACAGTTGACCAGTGTCCCATTTAGTGAGCACCACTGTTAACTTTTTGGAAAAATGGTTTAAATTAACCAAGCTGGTTTGCACAGGGTATTAGCCACTGAGCTACAAAATGGATGATATGCAGGTCACCAATCTTTAATAAAAACCGATATATATAAGATATGGAGCAATTGCACCGATTGACACTTTTATTGTAATATAAAAATGCAGAACCTATCTGCGGACTACCAAAAAACATCCTTATCTCATTCTTATGCTCAACTCTTATCTTAATTTTCTAGATAAATCCACCTTTTTGCTTAGTAATATCTTATTCATTCCATTTTAGGAGTTTCTATATATCCAAGGTTTTGGAAGAATTCCCTCAATTCACTGAGCTATCAAGGCTATAAATTGATTTTCTTCACATTAATAAATTTTCCACTCAATCTCAAGGCTCGCCTTGACTCTAATTTAAAATCTGGCCAGAATGTATAGCTTATCATCCAGTCATATCAATTTCTCAACAGGGGCTGACAATAACACCTCTTTAATCTACTCAAATGCCTGCTGGCACACTAGTGTCCAAAAAGAGGGAACATACTTGCCTGTGAGCGGATGAAATAGGACATCTAACTGAGACAGGGCAGGGGAGAATTTTATTAAGAAAATGATTTTATTTTTGAGGCAAGCTGACCAAGGGACGGACATTACCAAAATAAAGAAAGTATTGACATGAAACCTGAGCAGGGTCAACTCTGTCATAGAAGTTTTTTTCACCACCGGATCAGGACTCAGATTTTTCTGGTTACATCATGGGTAAGGTTTTCATGTTATTATACCTACTAACTGCCAATAGCTTCCTTTGGCTGGCACCCCAATCGATGTATGAAGGGTGGGAATCGAACCTGCAACCTTCAGGTTGGTAGCTATATGCCCTACTGACTCGCCTTCCACCCCCTTATTATTAATAAGAAAATGATAGTACCCAAGAAGCTTCTCAATTGCTTTTGAGTCGTTGGAGTTGGCCATTCATGGATGGCATCCAACTATTTGGGGATTGGCGTAACCATCTTTTTAAAACAATATTGCCCAATAAGGTAACCTCCTCCCTGTAAAACTCACATCTTGAAGGCTTTACAAAGAGGCACGTCTTATGTAAGGCAGCCATTATGGCATCCAAGTCCTAATCATGATGTTTGGGAGTAGGGAAGTGTACCAAGATATGTCAATGTATGCAACCATGAAGGTGAACCGGAGATCACCCATCACACTATCAATCATCCTTTGGAATATGGCTGGCGCGTTCTTTAGCCCAAAAGGCATCACTCAAAATTGGAATATGCTTCTGTTTTGTCCAGATTGCAATAAGCCATTAATTACATTCCTTCACCCAAATTTGATTTAAGCATTAACAAGGTCAAGTTTTGAGAACACATGCAATTTGGCAATTGCTTGCCCAATTGTCTGTTCCAAAGGCATAGGGAGGGATTGTGGACTGTGATCTTATTAAGGTAACCTTAATCCATGCAGGGATGAAGGGAACCATTGCCTTCTTGCAAAGATGATGGGAGAGGCAAATGGGGAAGCTTCTTTGAAGAGCCACCCTTCTTGAGCATGCCATCCAACCATGCAGAGGTCAACCTCCACCTCCACTGTATGCGGGTACTATGGTCAGTTAATTTTCACCACCTGCACCTCAATCTTAAACCCTGAGTCAAATTCTGTTTGTAGGGGTAGACAGTCCACCTTCTCAGAGTCAAAAATATTTTTATAACCCATAACGCTTTTGGAAAATCTAATATTAGTCACGTGGGAAACAAGGGAAGTAATTGAACTGCAACCTTGAGCTTTAGTAAGAGTATCCACTAATAGAAACTCACCTTTCATCTGACCATTGGAGAATGACAACATACTAGACTCAAGGTGAATCCTTGAATGCTGCTGACACCACCATCCCACACCCAAAATTACCAGAAACATGAGGTTAAGAATTGCTGAAAAAATGATCACAAAAACTAAACTGGTGAACCAAGAAAGGTATTGGGCGCCATATTTTATATGATGACTGGGAGGCTGATGAAGCGACCATAACTTTAGGACCCGCATCTAGGTCAAGATCAATCTAGTGGTCCAACTATAGGCTCATAAAGTTACCCATTGCTCCAGTGTCAACCAAGGCCTCAAAAGACACCTGGTGTGCTCTGATACTAATGTTCATTAGTAATAAAAAAGTAGGCAGAATTCTGTTATTGGCAGATACAGTCAAGTCCATTGATAAAGAAGAGATTGCAACTAGATTGGGGGGAATCACAAGGTTTGTGACATGATCAGATGATTTATAAGCTGGAGTGCCAGAATAAACTAACATGGGCATGGGGGCAGAGTTGATTTTTAAATTAATACAGGTGCTGATTTTGGAGCTGGGATCCAAAACCAAGGCCACATTGGTGGCTTCAAGCATGAAAATCCCACATTGGAGGGTGGACTGAGTCAAAGTTAGAGATACTTGTGCAGTGCGGCCATAGTAAAACTCTTTCACAACCCCATTCATCTGAGAGAAGGTTACCACTGCTGCATCCATCTTGACATTAAGAGTGGAAATAGCTAATAATAATGGACAGTTGATTATGTCATGAGTGCAGAAAGTTAAGTTTAGACTCGCCTGCCAGTCTGGATGCTATAGCACCCAAATGGCAAGCCCAAATTCCAGAGGCACTGCCACTGGAATGACGTTTATTTTAGATCAAAAGGATTTCTTCAGTGAGTGCCAGTGGGTCATTAATGTAAAAACGAACTTGGCAATGAACCAGACAATTATGGCCCCAGGGCCTGTGGGTTTGTGTGTTCAAATAAATTGATAAGGATAGGTTTAGAATTTTGTCATTTGTAAATGTAGAAATTTTTGGGAATCAGGATTGTTTTTGAATTTAGAAATGGAAAATTAATTGACAATTTTTCAGTGTGTTATGACTTCTTAAATAGATGATTGATTTGGGAATAGCTTAGAAAGACTTGGGATCAGGGCCCTCAAGATTTAACCTACCCCAGCAAACTTTGAGCAAGGGGGAAAAATAACTAAATTTGAACTGCCTTTGAAATTGTTGGCATCAGGCCAAGTTGCTGTCAGTTCATCCTTGGATACCTGAATTGTTGTTTCCCCACATCTTTGACAATTAGTATGGTAGCATCTCACTCAACAGGAAATGGGAACCACTTAAGGCCACCCCACATAGGAGCAGTCCCAAGAGGTCAGGAATGGGTTTGGGATACCTAACCCGCTTGCACCCAATTGCTTTGAAATCTGTTTGGCCAAGCAAGATGCATCAAACAATAAGCCTAATATTTGAGAGGAGGGTTTTGGGCTGTCAGCAACATTTATTATAGGAGGTACATGCTGTTAGGCTTTGTCTCCAATGTTTTCTAGGGAGTTCCAAATCAACAACAACATTTCCCAATCACCCAATGCCATTAGTGGGTTTAACTGAGGATCTGACACTGACACATTCTTATTAAGAGGTTCACACCCATTGGTCTTTTTCCCTAATATTTTTGGAGCAGGTTTTGAACTGTCAACAACATTTCCTAATGGCTATGCCATTAGCAAGTTTTTCTGAGAATTTGACACTTAATTCCTTATTTACTGAATGTGCATGCCCATCAGGCATTGTTGCCAAGGGGTTAAGGCTTTCAGACCTTGATTTTGAGGGCACATTGCCATTGACTTCATAAGAACCTTTTGGCCCATGGGAGTGGTGGCATTCAAGTATATTGGTGCAGATTTTCTCAATTTTCTGTACTAATTTGGCAGAGGCAATTGTGGGGATAGGTGGTGGGATCTTCAAGGGAAGCACTGTTACTTATCACTCATCTGTCACATGGGTGAGATTGCCCAGTGAAACAGGAGGGACAGCTGCCCTTTTTGAACCCTTATTTGTTGGGAACAGAAACACCACCTGGTTCAAACAGAGGGGATGCTCCCCTCAGACTTAAAACTATGATTTAACTTTTATTTGAGGTGGGCTGACTTGGGGATGATACCGCACCAATTAGAGAAGTGAAGAAAATGGGAAAGGAGGATAAAACCTGGAAAACCTCCATGTGCGGTGTATGATAGGCCAGGAACTCCATGGACCACCTTTGCTATTTGCTATCTCAGTTTGGGGCATTGGTGTGCAAAACCAACACAGTCAAAATTGTCCCCTACCCAAAGTCCATTACTGGGATCAAACTCGGGAGGCAGTGGTAGAGGGTTCATACTCTACCACTGGGGTATCCTCCCTGACTTACAACTATGATCAGCATTATGGTTTGCTTAGCATTGGATGTTTACTTTTAACAGAGTGGTTAGTATATTAATCTACCCTTTATAATAAATTAGTTGAATTTATAAAATTTTAATACAATGAGCTTTATAACTGTAGTTAAGACATTTAAATTTTGGTATATATACTAAATTTATCTTTACACTAGTTCTTTTAAGGAACAATATTCTTATGGGGATAAGCTGAAGTACTTATACAAAGTTTAGCTGTATAATCTTTTATTGTGTAAACCTTAGCAATTTTATGCAAACTGGTTTAAAATTATACTAAACTAGAATTTATTTTTATTTTGAAAATATTGATAAGACTAACCTAATATAATTAGAAAAGAATGGTTTAATCAAGCAATATATAACTAAGCATATAAAAGTAAGGATGTCATGATGGAGGATAAAAAATGCTTTTGTTCGGGATCGAACCAAAGGCCTTCTGCTTGTAAGGCAGATGTGATAACCAATACACTAAAAAAGCTACGCTCATGGCTGGGATCGAACCAGCAGCCTCAAGATTAACAGTCTTACGCGCTGGGCAATTGCGCCACACGAGCACAAAAGCCTTTTGTATTATATACTTCAAAACACTATAGACAATAGAGAATACACCTGCCTTTTCACCCAGACTAATTCATATTTAGATTTAAAATTCAATAAGCTAACCAAAGGTTAGTGATCTTATGGTTTATCAAAAGAGTAACTTAGTGTTTTTCAGACATCAATAAAATGTCTGCAAACACAATGACTAGTACTTCTGCATGAGAAAGTGAGCCACCGCCACTAAGTGTTCTTTGTATATCAAAGAAGCGCTTGAAAATCGACTTGTTAACCACAAAATTACTGTTATATTTTTACCGCCAAAAAGATCTATTGTATCTGGTATGGTGCATCTATGAGAGATAAAGCATTAGCTTACCTCAAATGAGCATACAATCCTGTAACCAAGTAGAGAATGTGTACATTTTTCAATATGCCAGCAATGAAATAATAAAACCATGTACTGATCTTTTTGCAACATCTGAATTTGTAGATTTCTAGTTTTTAAAGATTATTTAAATTTAGGCTTTAATGGAAAAGCGGATGTGGGAATTATATCACAAATGCTCTTAATATTCATAAGGGTTCCATCATATACAATCGTACTCAGTTGCCATCAAATACTATGATACTTTTTATGTTGTTTCTATTTACCATTAAGCTCCTCTATGAGAAGTGTCTGGGTTCAGGTCACTCTCGATTAGTCCCATAATTTAGGTGGTGTCGAGAATCGAGATTCACTTAATTCATTCAATAAATTAAATCAAATTAAAACTGTCTGAAGTTGAATTGATGCCAACAAAATCCAATGAGGGCCCAAGCGAGTTTGAAAACAAGCGGAGTTACCCGGCGTTGCTCGGGTTTGTTTATGAGCTCGCACTGACAGCCTGAAGCAACGGTCGGCAACTGGCGGACCGCGGTCCAGGTCCGGACCGCGGAAGGTCAAAAACTTGCCTACGGTCCGCCAGTCCCCGACTGTTGGCCTAAAGGCTGTGCCAACAATATGCTTGAGCCACTCGGACTAACAGCTTCGCTGTTGCCCTTGTGGTTGTGAGTTGGTTATCCTAAATCTACTTAACCCTTTCACTGATTTTCAAAAAAAATTCCTCTATTTTTGGCCCTTAACTTTTGCAAAAATTTTCTAGCCGATGTTCCCACTTTTTAACCGACTTTGAAAAAGGAAAGATTCTCAATTCGACCTATATGTATGTTTTTTTCTATGTTTGTTCGCGCATAACTCTGAGAATACTGAACCAATTTGGATGATCATCTTCTTCAAAAATAGAGGATGCTCCAACTTAGGTCCCATTTTACTTTTGTAAGTATTGGGCAAATATCTGCCCATTAATTTAGTAAGTATATCAAAATAGGCTTAGAAGCGATGGATACTTGTGGGACTAAGACAACTCCAGATAAATTTAATTCCGGCATTGGTGAAGCGATAGCTTCGAAGCACTTTTTAAACCTCCTCAAGCATAATCAACTCAGCTTTTGGCTCTAAACTTAAATTTTATAAAGGTCGGTTGTTCGAATCCTCGCGCAATCACATTTTGATATATATCCTATGGCTGGGGGTATATTCAAAATCCAGGCAGTATGAGATCATAGCGGAATGAGCTTAAATTATTATAGATGGCTATCATTTTTGCATAATTTAACCAATAAACTCATCTAAATTTGATAAAATGAATTATTTTAACTAGCGATCAGTATATTTACCATAGATTGACTAATAAAAGCAACCAAATATAATAAAATGAATTACTGTAGATGGCGATCAGTAAATTTAGTATAATTTGACCAATAAAATCACCTAAATTTGATAAAATAAATTATTAGTATATTTGTTTATAAGATACTATATATAATATATATACAATGAGTTTTAATTTTATAGAGACATAGTAAGGGTCAAAAATGATATATATAGAGATAGTAATATTTAATAAAAGTAGGAAAAAGAGCCTCTTTTAAAATTCACCAATTTTTTGGGGAGAAAAGAACTTGGGTAAAGTTTTTTAGAAAAAAAGAATATTCTTAACTTTTTTTATGGGAAAAAAGAACCTCATTTTAAAAAAACCTCTAAAAAGTATAAAAAAATTGAGAAATTATGAATCCTCAATAAGACTCTTTTTGAAGTTGGCACCATCTTCCACCCTGATTTATAGAATTTTCTCACAAATACAAACTAAAGCTTATATTGGATTGGGTCCAAGTGTAAACTATAAGCAACTTAGAATATACAGTGCTGAGTAGATATATTTTAAATGTCTATTATAACTCAGTTCAAAATATGGTGGCAACTCAAAAAGGGTTTTATTGAGAATTCATAATTTCTCAATTATTTCAAACTTTTTAGAGCTTTTTTTGGATGTTCTATTTTCCAATTTTTTTTGTAATCATTTTGGTCCTTGTCCGTAACACAAATATTCAATAAATTTGAAAAATATATGTAAATCTCACCACTGCCTCCCGAGTTCGATCCCGATAATGGACTTTGGGTAGGGGACGATTTTGACTGTGTTGGTTTTGCGTGCCAATGCCCCGAACCGAGATAGCAAATAGCAAAGGCGGTCCATAGAGTTCCTGGCCTATCATACGCCGCGCATGGAGGTTTTCCGGGTTTTATCCTCCTTTCCCATTTTCTTCACTTCCCTAATCGGTGCGGTATCGTCCCCAGGTCGGCCCACCTCGAATAAAATTATAAATTATATGTAGATCTCATTTTTTGGATGCATATATGCATTTTTAGATTTACATACCCCTCATTTTTTGAGTGCAAATATACATTTTTATATTTACATCACCCCCTTTTTGGATGCTTATATGCATCAAATTATTGAAATGGTTAATAATTTATAATAATCTACTTAAAACTCTAGCACTGATTTTTGTTTAGTTTCAGGTGAGCAATTTGGTAAATTATTAGATAATACTAGTGGAGTTACATGGCCTTGCTCGGGTTTATTTATTATCAGCTGATTTGAAATGATTAATTTAAATTTTATATTATAGCTAGCAGAACCCAGCTGACGTTTTCCTGCATTTGTATATTTATTTATATAAAAATGGATAGTCTGTACGTAATCTAGAATCTATAATGCATTGTGTAAAAATACAAAAAAATGAAAGATAACTCATACTGATGAAATTCTATTATTTTATCGGTATAAATAGATGATAAACTATATAATTTTTTTATGAATAATTCATATGAATGAACAATATTTTTGACTATTTTATTTACTATATAATTAAACCAACTTAAAATAATTGAAACTAATACTAACTTCTAGTGTAATACAAGTGGATGAACAATATTTTTGGTTTTCTTATTTGGTAAATAGATACATAAAGTTTCTGGATTTCCTACTCTGGAGCAAGCAACATATAGTTGACCATGTAAAAAATATGAATTCTCTAAATTTAATCTGGCAATGCACAGCAACTGCCCTTATTCTTTGTTTATTATCATCACAAAAGCAAGATGCACAGAAGACGCACAAGAAAGTGTAGTTGTTTGAATGTGAAGGGCAAATCAGTGGGAATTATTAGAATGTACAAAATCAGCACATCTTTTTTTTTTTAGTACTAGATGGAGAAAAATCAGCACATTTTCTCCTTTACATTTGCCATTAATTGTTGTTTCTTCAATCACATTTGCCATCAGTTTTTTATGGAAAGTCTGGTTCCATTGCACAACTTTGGAAGGTTCAGATTCTGAAGGAACAATATTGTTGAGCAAACTTTTAAGGTTAATATGTGAGGTGGCATTCCAGGAGTCTACAATGAATTGAGAAATTTGACTGGATAATTAACATAGAGATATATACCAACATCTAATTTTATATATAGATAAGATTCTTAAATTTATATTTATTACTACATTAGCTCATCATTTTTTTAGTTTTACTTACACTTGCAATATTAGCTTTAACTATATAAATAGTTTTAATGATAAAAAGTAATTAAATAAAAGTGATTGCACCAGGATTTAAACAACCAAACTTTATAAAATTTAATTTTAGAGCCAAAAGCTAAGCTAATTATGCTGGAGGAGGTATTTTTAAAATCAATTGGGTTTTTGATTCAAAGTTTTGATTTAGATTAACTTCTAAAGAGCCAAATAACCACTAAACACTTAACAAAGCCATATAAATACTCAAATCAAACAAATTTTAAACTGCTCAGCTGTAACAATATAGCAAATACCATTGAAGTAAATATAGAGTTTTTACTTTTTTTATATAAAACTTTTTATTATACTATGAAACTAATAATTTTTAAAATTCATAAACCATCTCAGGCATGCACATAACTTACCAAAGTTTATCACAATTGGGCAAATGGTGTCAGAGTCTATAAAACACAGACAGACAAATATACCAACATCCATTTATATATATATAGATTCACCAATTCTCACCCACACACCCAAATATATTAAACCTATCAGACTTGATGGTTTCAGATGTCAGTCAGTCAATACATCAGTGAATGTGCTTTATTAACCCTTAAATGTTTTAACAAAAAATCTTGTTTTTTTACCAACTTTGAAAAAGAAGAAGGTTATCAATTTGACCTGTATGTATGTTTTTTTGTTTGTTTTTTCTAAGTTTGTTTGCAAATACCTCTGAAAATACTGGACCAAATTGGAGATCATCTTCCTCAAAAATAGAGGATGCTCCAACTTAGGTCCCATCTTGCTTTTATAAGTATTGGTCAAGTATCTGCCCATTAATTTAGTAAGTACTAGCTGATTTACCCATGCTTTGCTATGGTGTCTATAAAATTTCAGATTTTGAAATTATTAATTTAATTTTATATTATAGATAAATAAAACCACTCAGCAAAATCTAATTGCTCAATTGAATCAACTAAAAACCACCAACCACTCAGGTAAAGCTAACTGAACTTATCAAAACAACCAATAACTAATCA